GGAGTTTAAATATAAATATAAATGTATGTGTCATTCAAGATACATGCAAGAATAAGAGATTGAATCAAGAATGCAGGAAGGAAACACTGTTTTATATTTTCTGTGTTTTACTTGTCTGGTGCAGAAATGAATCACCTATGTAGAGATACTGCTTGCAGCCAATGATGCATGAAATTTTTTGTATAAGATGATGTTATGGGGTAGGACTGGATAAGTCTGACTTCTTCCTACTCCATTCAAACATGTACTAGGTATAAGCAAACTGATTCTGGATTAGCATTGGTGGGATCTGTGTAATTATGTGTGTGTTGATGTCATTTGTTCTGCATGTTTGAAAGAATAAATCAAATCAAATCAATAAATCAATAAATCAGAGGAAACACAGCACAGTAAAGGAGAAATATTTACCCTAAAGCTCTTAACTTTCAGGTGCCTGATGGTCATCTTCACATTCCATAGCCACTTTAGATGTTTGGTGTATTGCTTTTTTTCCTTGACTGTCTTACCAAACAGTGACAGGACTATGCTGTAATGATACTGTATTGACAGTGCAAATTTTATTAGAGAAAATATTGATTTGATTTGATTGATTTGATTTGATTTATTCATTCAAGCATGTAAAACAGTTGATATGTCAACACATGTAATTTCACACATATCCAACAATCCAATATCAATTTACTTATACCTAGTACATGCTTGAACGGAGTAGGAAGAAGTTAGACTTATCTATTAAGTCCTAAGCAATATTTCTACATAAATAATTATCCTCTACACCACACAAGTAATATACTACAGAATTATTACAGTGTGTTAACATTCTACATAATTACATTCATTCATTACATTCTACTAGGTAGAGTAGTTTTAAAGTATATGCAGTTGGTATGCCAAACAGTTACAAGTTAACTACATCCCTTCAACATACAGCAACTCAAATGAGATCTGAGGAGTTGGTAATTCCCTCTTAATGATTTATTTGACTTAACTGGCTAAATTGACATCTAGTCCTCTGTGTTCCCAGCCTGATAGAGGAGCGTAAATGCACCTCCCTGCCCAACTCTCCCGCCAAGCGAGTGTCCCCCACCAAAAAGAAGCAGTTCTTTATCAATCAAGCCATCCGCAACTCTGACCTCACTCCTCAAGCCAAAGGCAAGAAGAGCCTCCGCCGTCAGGAGAACAGTAAGCTCTCATTTCACATGATCAGATTAGAAAACGCTGTTAAAGGGGAACTCCACCAATTTCACACATCAGAGTATGTTTACGGGTCCTGGGGAGTACTACTGCATATGTGTTGAGTTGCACAAAGTCTGAAAAATTTCCTTAAGTGTCACTTGAACATGTGACACACAGAAGTATGTTTTGTTTTCTAAAGAATGAACCACTCATGAATCTGCCATTCACATTTTGTTCATATCACAACTGGCATTCTATCTCTTCAGCACGCTACCTTGCAAATCTTATTGAGAGGGACGAGTGCTCCAAAGATGATCTGGAAGTTTGCAGTAACCCAGCCATCCCATCCATCTTCACTGAGGCCTGCACCAACAGAAACTACATAGAGGTAAATCAGCTATGTTCCCCTGCTTTAAAGCTATGTTTGTATTTTTAAAAAATATAAATTATGTTGAGGCCGTTTCCGTCTTCAATAGGATATATATAGTAATTTGCTCTAGTGTGAACCCTGGCTCGGTATTGGTTGAGGTTTTGTTCACTCTAGACCTGTTGCATGTCAACCTGCAGTTTATCTAATTTAATTAAAAGAGTCCACTATTAGCTTTAGCTATTTCTGAAGCATCCTACAGGCATACTGACCTTTTTGGTGGGATTTTTAAGCCTTTTACAAAAACGAAAGATATTAGAGCTTCACTTATATCTGTGATCCAGGCCTGAGGTCAAATTTATAAGCACCCAATAAACTAATTCTTAACTTTTAAACTGACTAGTCTTTCTGTATGTTCTGGTCTTTCAGCCATGGAATGACTTCATGAATTGCTCTGGTGAGGAGCAGGAGAGGCTGTTGTCTCTGTTGGAGCAGGAGGAAGCCAAGAAGAAAAACACCAGCCGGCTGCTCAAAGACCAGGACTGCTTTCAGAGGATCGATCGCAGGCTGCGAGTAACTCTGAAACGGAAGCAAATCCCCATGGTGAGTGTCATGTCTTCTACTCATTGTGCTTGGAAACTAAATGTTTGGTCACTGATCATGTCATTTGCATGGATCAAGATTTATGTACAGTACATGGTAGGAGTCTGTTTATGCACAGGAGCTTTTCACATGGAACCAGCAAATTCTTGGCATTTCTGCTTTACAATAATAAATAATCAGAGTAGTTGCTTATTCCTTTTTCAACAATAGGTGAATCGATTAATAAACTTTCAGCTCTACCCTGGCTATTTGGGACTGTTTTGAAAACAGTGACACTCTTCCAAATTTTGACCACAGCACTGGTTATTGTGTAGCAAACAAGATTTACCCTGATTGTCAAGCAGGTCAATTTGCTAGAGCCTCTTGTAATCTAATTGTATCCTATGAAAAACTGAAGAGAATGTGCAAATTCAGTATTTCCTAGTTCTTATTAATGGATGGAAGAATAAGTACAGGGATGTGAAAGCAGTCATAACTCACTGAACAAGCCTGCTGAAGTTTAGTATTTTGCTTGAGCACAAACATGCACATGAGGACATATGACCTGTATGATGTAAATCTGTCTGACATCTTCTTTGACAATCACCACTGTGTTTTTCTACTTGCAGGGAACTCTGGAAGTACTTGAGGAAAACCTTCTGAGTTTCTTCAATGCTCAGCCTCACTCAGTTTACACCACCAACCTCGCTAGCAGGTAGAACTCCTCCTTCTCTATTTAGGGTATCTATAAGTCTTAAAAACTGAATTCAGTTTTGTCAGAAAAAGGACTTAGATGGTGTTAGATGTTTCTGTTGTTTGTGTTTGTGAATCAGTTTTGAAAGACTGCTGCTTCATGCCATCTGCCAGTATATGGACCTCGTCTCTGCAAGTGAGTGGAAACACATACTAGACACACTGGACCTGTATATCAGAATAGTCAGACTCAAATATGATTGAGAATCCTGCCTGGACCTCAGACAGGATTTCTGTTTTTCTGCTTGTGCAGCCATACAAATATCCACAGCATTAGTATTTGTTCAGTGACATATTTTCAGATTTTGTTTTCCATTTAAATGCAGTGATGTTTCCCTCCCAGTAAATGTGTGTGGAGAATAATTATGAACTGGTGCTTCTTCTCTGCACAAATAATAGGAATATACAGAGGAAAACAACAAATAAATACATTTAAGCATGCCTTTGGTAAAATTTTGAGAAAAAAACAGAGTCACATGAGAGTGTTTAACGTTTGTTACCCTCAGGCACAGACTACAAAGGGACACGTCAGACTGAAGTGGTGAACAAACAAGACGAGTTTCTGCCTCCTACGCTTCTGCTGTCTGCCTACCTGGAGCAGATGAGCTGAGACCAGCACCACATTCTGTGACCCCGTTTCCTCCACAGGGCTAAGCTGCAGGCAGGAGCTGTGAGAGATGTAGACCAGGTGCACAGTCTGTACATAATATCTATAAAGTCCATCACGCTTAGCAAACAACTGAAAGATGCCCATTTCCTCCTGGTTGTCCTTTGGTCTCTGTAGTGAGTTTTCCATTAATTTTAGCTATAAACAAATCTGGCATTGCATAAATTCTAAATGTTACATGATAAATATTATAAATAACTGTAGGTATGTTAACATGCTAAAGTCAGCAGTCAGCTCAGGCCAAGTACAAGAGGTCGACACATCTGAGGCTGAAAAGGCACAAACTGATAAGTCTGACAGAGGTGAGTCCGTGAAGTCCTAACATTGCCACTGTGCAAAGAACAGCCCATTTGGATTGAACCAAACACACTCTTCTTGCCAAAATTTATATTTTCTAAAATTAGTACAGTTGTCAAAGCAGTTTTCTTCTATCCACAAATGTCACTTTCTGGCGTATAATGCAAAGTATCATGGACCACGACCTAGTTTAAGAATGAACAATCTACTCTTTCCATCCATAGGTGGGGATTAAATGAGTTTCTTTTGTTTCCCTAGCTTTTAAAGTACTTACATAAATATTAATATAATAATGATGAATCATTCTTCACACTGGGACAGTGTGGTAATCTCATGATCTAATTTGTGACAAGGACTGAGTTAAATGAATTAGCTACATTTTGGTGATCAGGCCTGCATACACTGTACACAATACACATACAGTACACAAAGGCTAGTTTTTCTTTTTGTTGACATTGTGTAGGACCTGATCATTGCCTTTCAAATTAATAGACAATTTACCATTGTCTCCTTTTACAGTTCAAATAATAACATTTCAAAATATAAGTTCGAACATCATACACCTACACTCTCACAGTTTACTGCCATGTCATTTCAATGTAGAGGCCCCTTGTCACTGTGACTTTAGAGTTCTCTGAGACGTTAGTTGAGTCATGAAATGACAGAGAAGACAGTTACGATGCGTCGTATGCACCATTTACTGAGCCAACAGGGAAGGCTTGTATGACTGGCAAAGAATAAGATTACTTAATTTTCCATCATTAGAACCTCAAATGTGTCATTCAATATGGGCACTGCATACCACAAGTCTGGATTTGGTGATATTTCAATGTTAACGTCAACATCTTACCCCACTGACTGGTAAGATCTTGGCTGTGAACTCGTGTTTAATATTCATTTCAAGACAGCACAAATGCATAGCTGTAAATAATGACAATATAAGCCTAAAAAGTAAAGGAACATTTACTTGGAACCCATTTCTACTGTCTAAAGTCTCAGATGTCCGACTCTGTTTAGGCTGTAGAGCTGCTGCATCAAGAAATGCATCACTGCCTGAAGGATTAGCCTGTAGGATTCGTGTAAGCGATGAGGTATGAAGCATGAATATTAATAATCCCCCCCTATTCTGTGCACAGACACATGACTCATCATTGTAGGTTGTCAACGGTGTTAAGTAACTTAAGTAAAATTCTTGGAAGTGAAGTTATTCTTATGTATAGGAAGTTACAGTTTCTTCAGGGCCTGCTTTGCGGAGTTTGTTATCTTTCTCGGTTAGTTTTGTCTGGCCGTGTAAACTCCTGTTGTGTTTCAGCTGCATTTTCCAGTCATCATCAGAAGGATACGTTTACATTTCAGTTAGTCAAACTGTCTATCGATCAAGTATCCAAGGTGCAACTGTTATTTCGTTCACAGTCGGTGTTCAAGGAGACGATAAGGAACTATACTATTGTTAAAAACTGCTAGTGGCCCTGTATCATTAGATTTATTCCTTAGTTGTTAGTGCACAGTGTTCACTCAGTGTGCATTTAACACATAACTGCAATGTTTAAGGCCTCTTTACTATATGAACTGGTGATCTGCTTTGTGTGTATATGTTCAGTGGATGTGTTACACTGTGGTAAAAACCTGCTGAGTTTTTACTCTTAGGGATGTTCCATCTCCATATCAACATCAGCAACCTAGAAAAGCACTTCTGCCTTATGAAGACAAGTGTCGGTTTTGTGTACATATATTTCTACATTTGTACTTACTGTCGTATGCAGTGTAACAAAACTGGACTTGGTGCATTTTGTCAACAACCAAAGTTTATGCATTTGTTGCATGGAAATCCAACTTCTCAGGCTTTCAACATCTCACTCTGAATGTCTGAATGAAATCTAGTGGTTTCACATGGTGTCATGTTCAGTGTACTGTATACTTTCTCCAGGATGGATTCACCTAAATCATATTCACCTCAGCACCCTGGGATGCTGCCAACTTTTTACATAGGAAAATAGAAATAGTTGTGCTGTAAATAAATGAACTGAGATAATTGACTTGTGCCAACATTTGGACTGAAAAGTCTGTAATAGCTGAAAGCTTTATACACTAGATTGGAATGTGCATATAATGATCTGTGTGTGCTACAGTACTTGTTTGTATTTATTACTGCAACTATTAAATCAATTAAAACATTTTTCTCATTTCATCATCTCCTTTTAACTAAAAAATGCTGTCTGAGAAGACAGACTGACAGTAACGTTAATAATAGCCCACCCCAAAAATCATCAATTACAACAAAATCTTGGTATGTATTCAAAAGTAAAATTACAGACATATTGGCAGCAAAATGTACTAAAAGTATCAAATGTTAAAATACTGTTATGTAGAATCCTGCGTTTCAGTTTTGTGGTTAACATCAGGGTCCCTGTTCACCATATCGAAGGCTAATGTCACCGGTGTGGCTCACTGATGTTTTTAAATTGTTTTGGGCAACAACGGAGCTGTATTAGGCTTTGGATACACAGATAATACTTGTTAATAAGATGTACAAAGATTTGGTTATGAGCTTTTACATCAAATTTATTGTCAACAAGAACAAATAGACTAAACCATCCATCCATTTTCCTCCGCTTATCCGGGACCGGGTCACGGGGGCAGCAGTCTAAGCAAAGATGCCCAGACTTCCCTCTCTCCAGACACTTCCTCCAGCTCCTCCGGGGGAATG